ACATTTCTGTTAATTGTAAAATTTCACCTTTGTTTGGTGATTATCCGAAAACCTTTAAAATTATCGGCTATCATCATCAAATTTAGCTGTTCTTCACTATACATATTTGGCTATGCATCGTGAGCTTGGCGACTAACGGCAAGTTGTTCCATTAAATTTTATCTTGCTTCTATTGCACACTGAGACAATTAAGCCTGAATTGTATTACTTAAGTTATTTATTATATTTGTGTCTATTTCTTGCACATGCTTAAGGCTTATCAAAGTTCTGAATAAATAAATTATCACCATATACTTATTGAGGGCCAGCGCTTTGAACCTAATGCAGTTTCTGTGGGTCCTAAATTCTGCAACTCAGTGCGGCCAAATGAGCCCTGGTGATGGTTCTGCGTTTATGTGAATAACAAATCAGTTATTCTTAATTCAAATAGCTCTAAATGTAATCTTTGGGTATCATCAAAAAAACCTATTTTTAGCATATGGCAAGAAATTTTTGGTAAATTCTTCCTCATCAACATTTTTTAGTGCATTTAACTAAAATCTGTAATCATCACCAAGCGTGATGTCAACAGAAAAGGTTACCACACTCCTTTATTATTCAATTACTAACATAAAAAAATTGTTTAGTCATCGCTATATAAGTCATTACTCAATTTGTCATGTTTTAATAAACATGCGGTGATGAAAGGAAAGTATAATAAATAATGATTTGTCAGTTTGGCGTCAGATCAATTATGTATCTATTTGTAATGTTTCAGTTTGAGATGTGTGCCAAAGAGATACGCAGCAACGGAACCAAATTACTGATCGTAAAAATTTATGTAAAATGATTATTTCTTCAATAATAAGGTATTTTATTTAGTGTCGAAGCGAAATTAAGAATCAGGACTCTTCAGATGTTTTATTATGTGGGAAGGGGGGGGGAATCAACTGTACATGCATAAAGTCTACCAGAAAACACTGTTGGAGTTTTTGAGGTCCGGATTTTGGACCATTTCGGATAATGGACGTCCGGATTTCGAACTTTGTACTGTCTCACTTCTTCAAACCTCAGGGGTAATTTTTTGTATATCTTTTGAAATTGTAATACGTAGTATATGCAGTACAGATATTATTTTTAATTAGTTGAAAATTAAAACACCATAGGAAAATTAAATATATATTTGATATTCATCATTCATTACAGCTAGAAATTGTGTGGGATTTATTTCAGATATAATATATTTATTATAATAATAAGCAAACTAAAAGCTGTAATGAGGCCAGTTTTATTCTCCACTACCACCGATAACTAATTACATGGAGTCTTCGCATCATATGTCATATGCTACAAATAAAAATAAAGATTAAGATCATCTTAGTAGTGAAATTGTGAAGAATTAGTACAGCCCTCTAAAAAAAAATCTGAAAGGTTTCAGATTTTAAATTACATCTAAAGGAGCGTTTTTTTAATGTTTTGTGTGCTACCTTTACTTAGTAAATGTCATGTTTGCACTTAACCATAAAATTCAGTTCAATAGCAATGTCGCAAAAGAATTTTAAAATGAGTATATCTTTAAAATTTCTGATACAGTCAAAAGTCGTTAATCCGGACTCGTCGGGACTTCGGCGATTCCGGATTATCGATTTTTCCGGATTATAGATCATCAGTTTAAATTTCGTAAGATGGCATGCAGAAATTCTAAAATTAAAAATATGAAACCGTAATTTATGAAATAAAGAACAATTATGATCTAAAGGGTATCAAAATTTACAAAAAAAAAAAAAAAAAGCTTCATATTTATTTGTTTACTTTATTAAACATTTCTTTCAATGTAAGTTGTTTCGTTTTATGTGATAATACTTTCTCTTTAATTCTATAAACAGACATAATTTCTTGTTCAGTTACAAAGCTCCGCTGTTCAAGTCCCGTTAATTGCTGTGCCGAGAATACCGACTAACTTGTCAATCGAAATTTTTTCGTTTTCACTAACCTCTCTGTCACATTCTTCATGTCTTTATCAATTTTTTGCAGCAATTCCACTTTTTGTTTGTTGGACATCGGAACATACTTTCGTTTTGTAGATCCTTTGGAAGTTCCAGCATCGGAAATTCTATTTGACATAATCGAAAGTTCAAGTTTACTTTTATAAAATTGCTCTTACAGTCTGCAAAAAATAATAAGCGCGATCCAATTCGAAGATTAACGAACAACACAATCATTAACATTAACTGAAATAGATAATTAGATAATTTTAGCTTACACCGTCCGTTATACATTAAATGCGCAGGCGAAAACGTATTCTGCACTTGCGCCACGCATATGCGCAGTAGTCAAGGTCTTACGCGCACGCCAACGCGGCGCATGCGCAGAAAGTTTTTAGCTTTGAGGTCCGGATTATAGATCATTCCGGATTATGGGTGTCCGAATTAACGACTTTTGACTGGAAACAGTTTCGCGTGCTGGAGATAAAAAGGTTTTTAGCCCTGTAGAGTGTTGCCATTGCTCGCTTTTAAACTGTTGAGTTTGTTACTCAAAAATTTGTTAAAGTTTTACAAAATATGAAATCGATAATAAAACAAATTCCAAATTTCAAATTTGGTCTTCCACAGGCCCATATTCTCTGTAGGATTACATCATTCAAAATTTGATGGCTCTATGTACCATTGTTTTATTACAATGAAAGAAATATACATACATTTATGCAGATTTTTCATTATTTAATTTCTTCAAATATAATGCAGTACTCTGACATTTAATGGCAACAGTTTGAAAAGTGAAACAGACATTTATAGCGATTCTACGCAAAATCGCAAAATGAAAACAATAGTCGTTCAGGGACAAAGACCCTTTGGACTAATAAAATTTTCAGGAGCTTCAGTAAGACTCCAGTTCTTTTTTTAAACATACAGTTCACAAGTTAAAAAAATTAACTAATAAAACAGCAATGAAGAAAAGCTTAAAAAGCCAAGTTAAAATAATAACAATTAGAAACTCTATTTTTGCAAAAATTCTTTGCTCTATAAAATTTGCTTTTATAGTTAAATATATCCAGTTATTGGGGTTTTGGCCATCACTGTTAATTAATATTTTTCTATTATTTATAAATAACACTTTTTTAACTAAGCAAATATGCATTATTCTCTAATAGAGTTGATTTTCTTATCTTTTATATCAGAGTTTCCTAGACCTGCAGCAAGGGGGTCACCAAAACTTTTAGCAGTTTTGATATTTCTTTAACTTATTATAATAATTTTACAAATACTAAATATTTTTACACAATGTATCTGAAAATAGATGCAGAGATAAGACAAAGAAAAACCAAAAACTTTTTGTAATATAAACATTCATTTTCCTTGCTTTGCACGTGACGCTGTCATTTCATCTATTACTTATTTAAAATTTTCACATTATGTTTAAAATTAGAAATTAAAGTTGATAATCTAAAATTGCAATACTATATTACAGTACAAATGAAAAAAAATGGCAGTTTCACTCATGTGTGTGCCGGATTTGCGCAATGCTTATGAGGTCTCAGAAAATTTTTGTAAATATTATGGGGTCCTGGGTTTGGGAAAAAAATCTCAGTGATAAAAAGGGGTTGCGACTGAAAAAAGTTTAAGAAGCTCTGTTTTATATTATAGTATGTTGTATAGTACCAGAGCCTACAGACTCTCTTTCTCTGAAACTGATTAAAATAAAAAAAAGTGCACCATACCATGAGAAATAATGGGAAACTTATTTCAAGGCTGAAGTAAGAAGATGGGATTGTGGGAAAAACTTTTAACTGTACATAGGCATGTTGTGAAATTATGGAGCAGTATAGAGTAAAAGCTGTGTCACACCTAACTGTTATCAAATAGCATCAACAATTCAAACACTGGCAGAGATTTGACTGATGCTGGATGGCAAAAAACCAGTTTGTGTTGCAGGTTGATGAATAGTTTACAGCAGTTGTAGGGTGACAATCTTAAAAACTCTACAGGTGTTCACATCTGAATGAGCAGCAATCTGCTAACAATTAATAGAAATAAACATTGGTTCATAATGGTCAATTAACTCTATAATGGTTTTATGACTGAGGATTAGGTTTCTATTGTCAGGGAATAGAATTCACTGTTGTATATTCATTTAAGTATTTACTCAGTCTGGGTGGATATGTTGAAAAATAGTGTTATGTATATCTATTGTATTGCATTATTATAACTGCTAACTCTCCTATTTTTACCAAGAGACTCGTGGTTTTTCATTACATCTCTCATTCTCTCGGTACAGCACCAAAATCTCCTGTTTTTTAATTTTTTAGGCAAACTACCAGTGTTTCCTAAGAATAAATTATATTTGTTGAATTAATAAAACTTAAATTGTGCAAAATTGATTCCCAACCCCTGGTGATTTTTAGCATGATTTTTCTTATTATAACTTATTTGATCTGAATTGTTTTAATCTATGGTAGATGTCTGTAAAACATTTTGTGAAGATTCAAGCAATAATCAGTTAATTTACAGATTTTTATCAGTTAATATTTATATATAATTTTGTTTTATATCAGTTTGGGGGACTTTACTAAGTTTATCTGCACAGTAATTGGTGCTTTAATTATTAATTTTATTTTCATCATACTTAAAGTTTCATCATATTAATTTGATAAATAAAAGCTTTCCTTCCCTACTCAAGATTTTCACAGTATAAAAGTGTAAGAATAGTATAAAAGAGGTTTGGAGTTCCAATAAGATAGCATCACTGCTCAATGAAAAACTTCCTAGAAACTCTAGGTTTTGTGCAAGAACCTCTTAAGGTTTTCCCATACTTTAAGATTTGCAGCTATGTATTATAGCATACTGCAAAATAAAATTTTATTGTCCTACAATAATCAAGTTTGAATTACTTTTTGAATCCTACTTGTACGAAAACTAATATAAATCAGTAAAATAATATAATGCATTTTGCAAAAGATTTTATTAATATCTTATATATTCAAATAAATGTGAGTTAGTTTCATTCAAAATTATTTATTTCAGACTCTTACAAGAAAAAGAATAATTGATCAAGAAGTACATTTCATGCAACGAAGGTAATTAATCGTGTGTTCATATTTATTTTGCTTTGTTTTTTTTTTATTTCTGTTGATATTCATATAAATAAGTATACTGCAAAATTTTACTACTGATGTTATACTTACATTGATAATTTAATATGATTCTGGATAGACTTGATAGCACTATAAAATGCACTAAACATAGCCAGCCAATTGTGAAATTTTCATAATAGATTTATATGTAAAATTTATTTTTGTTAAATGTTCATTTTTTCTGAAAATGCCAATAAATCTAGTCTAAACATCAAATCAATTCAGTCAAGCTTGTATTCATCAAATTAATCTTAACATCAAATCGATTTCAGTGTGAACTCTTGGTGGACATTTGGATTACCATCTGAATACTTCCATCTTATTGTACTGAAAAGTAGTTCTTCTGTTGCCAAATTAACAACATATAATAGAGGCATTCCCTTTCACCTGAATTCTTCCACTGTGCATTGCAAAATTTAGTAGTTTAATTAAAGTGACTGTAATGTATTAACCTCTTCCTGGTTTAGCTAAGTTACCTTGAGAAAACGATCAAGTAGTGATTACATGTGATTAGCCAAGCACTAGAAATAAATACCTTTAATTTTCACTGCAAAGCATATTGTCCTTTTCTTCATCAAAATGACTACATGTAGTCAATGCTACAAAAGAAGTAACCACAGGAATTTTCATCTTCAGGAAGTTCTTTTGATGAACAAACTGCCCCTCTCTTCTTCAGATGTTTTACAGTTCCCCCCCCCGCCAATGTTGTGCACTTGTTATTAACAGCATTGGCTATTCTTAAGACAAAAGTGGAGGGCATTTTCTTGTGAAGGCACCTAATAGGTGACCACCACTACCTCCTATGAAGGGACAAACAATTTTACATCCAATGCCTTCTCCGGGATTCGAACCCAGACCCTCCAGTATTGCAATCAGGCTTCTCTAACCACTATACTGTCTGGGCAGCCTTTGCAGTTTATTCGGATGTTGAAACTGCAAGGTGTCAGTTTAACACAGTAGGTATCCTACTGCACAGAAAGGGAATGCAGTGTCAGGCAGGGAAACTAGCTATATTTGAAGCAGACAATAAAATTTTTCAGACCATTTTTTACTGTGACTGCTTATTACAGCAGAATGATATTCATTTCTTTGAGCTACCATTTAACGAGTTAAAGTTATATCCCACTTGTGTGTTTTAAAACATCTTTTATCATTTTCAGATGTCTAAATTGTCAAATTTAAACTCAGAAACTAATATTATGAAGCAAAATGTCAAATTCCCTTTCTAATACAGAGGAAGTAATAGCCACATATACATTGTTCAGATTCTCTATACTTTCAAATTACACATGAACTGTCAAATTATTTTCTATCAGTAAAATTCACCTATCAGTAAAATTCATTATTTGATTCTTAAAGATCTCTTTTTGTGAGTGATGCAGTCACCAGAGCACCTGGTTCTAGGAACTAACTCCATTGAAAAATCGGTTATTTGCTAACATATCACAACAGAGTAACTGAGGTGCTTCACAGATGTTAAATAAATCAATAGTAATGCATATAGAGAAATGTGCTCACATAAAAATTTCTCTCGCAAAAGTAAAAAAGATGCAAAGCTGTCGAGTTGGTGAGTGTAAAATAAGAATAGTTACATAATACTATCAATCAGAATTCAATGGTGAAGGAAAGTAACAGTATATACAAAAGAACAATATCATTACTATCGAACAGTATAAGCATCAAAGAAAATGTATATCTAAAGTTTTTGAAATCGTACAAAGTATAGAAAATTCCACTAAGGATAAATATGAGATTAAATATATCTATAAAGAATTCCTCTGTTAAAGATTTCTTCAAGAATGTTAAAAACTATAATGATTTTTATCTATATATGTGAGGGCTTGTGTGATTTTTATCTAATCCCTCTTCTATGATTTGTAATATGTGAAGAATAAAAAAATCACCAGTAGAAGAATTGATAGAATTTGATGTCTGAATTTTTTCACTCGGGAGTTGTTTCCTTGAAATTTAGCAAATATTAATGCATGGTAAAGCCTGGCTCCTTACCACATGGTCTGGAATTTGAATGTACAGAGGCCATATTTTTTTTTTCCTCAAAATTTCTATTTTTAATATTGATAGGATTTTTAGGACATTTTGAAAAATTTGCTGCAGATTGCCCACCACATTTGCAACAAGTAAGCTCTGAAATACATTTAGCCTGGAAGTGTGCGGAATTGCATACTTGATACACCTTGGAGCTAGTTTACACTCATTTGAAGAGCGATAGAAATATTGACAGTTGTGGCATTGGGCTTTACCTCCTTAGAATTTGTATCGTTCTATGGAGACTGTGAAATATAATAAATTTGTAATTTTATTAATATGTTCTGCCCTAGATTTTTTCACTAATTGAATCTAGTCTTAAAGATGTCATCTCTGATTTTAATCCTTGCAGAATTTTAGCATGTTATATCAATGTGGGTGATCCGATATAGCAGAAGCACATATAGCAGAAGCCTGCCCAGAGAAAGAAACACAATGGCAAATACTCACACAGATGAAAACGCACACAAATAGAAGACCACATTGATATGAGCTGACGCTGACAAATGCCTTCACAGATGTATATGCCATGTAGAAAATAATAAAATCCTCTTTATTTTCAGTTTATTCAGGACGGGAATATGAAAAAAGAGTTAAGAAAACAGAAAAAAATATTTAATTAAATTAAAATAAAGGAACACATTTTATTTTAGGCTCCAGCTGAATTTAAGCCCTGTTATATATTGGACCATCTAGAAAGTTTTTGTTGTATGATTTTTTGCCATCTTTTTTCTGCAGCTGGAAAATTCCTTTTATAGAAAGTCATTAGGTTTATTTGTAGAAAAGTTATCAAGGGGCTGTTTGACATTCTCCAAAGAAATTAACTCCAAGCCATTAGCAGAATTTTGAAGTTGCTTAAAGAGATGAAAATCCAAGGGAGGAAAGGTCTGGTAAATAGGGAGGGGCCGACATGGAATATTCTAGCCATACTCAGTAAGTCGTTATCTGACATTCATCAAAATGTGAGGTCGAGCGTTGTCATGATGGAAGACAATATCTTGGTGGTTGATCAGTTCCCACTATTTTCAGTTTATTCACTTTGCTTTGAATTCTGCTTTTAAAACTGCCATTTGGTAACAATATATTTTAAAATTTGTTGTCTGATTTGGTAGCAGCAGTATACAGTTTCTTTGTAATCTCACTATAGACAAAGCATTACTTTTTTGGAGCAAACCTCCTCTCGATGTCATTAAAAAAGTTCTTTTGGCTTATTCTGCCATCTTTTTCTCATAATATTATTGTATAGCGTCCAGTTCTCATCTTCAGTAATGAGGGGTTTCAAAAAAGAAGTTTCTTTATTTCTTTTCAGTAAAATATCGCATGCCCAAGCTTGAAGGATATTCTGCTCTGTTAAAGAATGGGATATCCATATATCATAGCAGCTTATATATCAAGTCTTCTTCAAATGATCATGTATTGTACTTTTTGGAATATTTAGTCTATCTTATAGCTTCTGACCTGTTTCACAGGAATTTTCAGTAGCTTCTTTTAATAGGTTTTTCTTACAGAGTATGGTCGTATAGAGAGGGCATCATCTTCAAGGCTAGAATTTCTATACTTAAACTTGTAGGGTTTATATTTATTTTAACTAACATTTATTTTAAGTTTAAACTATCTTTCCTGTCAAGCCTTACTTTCCCCTGGAACTGCCAATGCCAGAATATGTAAGTTTTAGTAGAACGCGCAAGGATTCAAATTATCAGCGGAAGTATTATGATTTAAATAGAAGGAAACAAGTTCGGTGTGATATTCTTACTTAGCGAGCGCGGAGGTAGATAGCGAGAATTTGAAGAACCCCGCATTGCGGCCTATGTGCTTGGCGGGAAATAGTGGTAATCGTTCCAGTGAGCTTCAAGTCTGCTGAATTAGCAGCGGTATTTGTAAAACGCGGTGAGTTAGTTATTTTAGAGAGCCTCGTAGTTAGAATCTTGTCTTTACTTTCTTTTCAGGTTATTATTCTTATTTTGACTGCCAAGTTGGCACAGTCTGTGAGCGTCAAGAGCACGCAATTGTAATTTTATTACGTTGAATAAAAAGGGACTTAAACCCTTCACAAGGCTCTATCTTTTATACAAGTTTTCACAGTCACCTCTTGGTTGCGTGCAAGTTGGAGGCGCGCAACGTTATATTGGCGCCCGAACAATTATCGAACTGAAATGGCCGAAAACTGGATGGAAGCCGCTGGACAACACCAAGAAATGACAAGTCAGTTAGAAGGATTTCGATACCTGGTCCAGACTTTGAGAGCATCAATCAAGCCAAACGTCCATTTCGACACAAAAAATTCGGTGGCGGTATTTCTCGAAGGTCTAGAAAACCACTTTCAGCTCTACCCGGTGCCTGAAAGACAAAAAGTTGCCATCAGCACTAAGAGGACAGGCCGTGCTATGGTGGCAGAACATAGGCAAATTTCTATTAGGGGAATTTCGAAGCCCGACATATACATTTGAAAATTTCAAAAAATCATTAGTAAAGGCCTTCCCCATAGTGAAAGATCGCGCACGGCTGGAAGCCGAACTATATAGTTTCTATCAACGGGATACAGCAGAATTGACGGACTTTATTTTACGAAAATCAAGCTAACGGATATGCTGTATGGGAAAAAAACCGATGCGGAGATAATTGAAATAATATTACCAAGATTGTTACCCGCTGTTCAAGACTACTTTGAAATTAGAAACCCAAGCATATTGCAGGAACTTTTCGAATTGGCGGTGAAGTTTCAAAATCGCAGAATAGCGGAAAAAGCGAGAGGGGAACATATTCTCAACATACCCGAAGGAAGGAGGAAACCAGAAATGGAAATCGCTCATATGGGGGAAAGAACTATCAAGCTAACGCATCGAAACTCGAAGGTCAAGGCCCAAAAATAAAAATTTGAAAATAAACATCCGCGT